CGGGCCCAGCTCCGCCGTCTGCCCGCCCCCACGCCTGAGGACAGCTGATTTCTCGCCCCGTCCCTGATGGCCATCCATCGAGCACACCCACCAGCTCACGAGTCGCTTGCAGCCGTGCCTTCTCCTGAAAGCAGCCTGGAACCGGGCAGCCGCGTTTCGGTGGAGCCGAGGCCTGCGGACACGGCACGGACGCTGGAAAGATGAATACAAAATGGCAAAAGTGATCTGGGCGGAGGAACTGAAACCCAGAATACCACCGCATGAGCAATAGCTCACCTAGCACGTGTCCCGCCATCCCGGTGCCCTTCAGCCCTCCAGGCCAAGCCACCCTTGCCGGCCACTGCGGGGCCCCAGGGGCTCCCTCCCCGTCAGCTGGTTCCTCAGGCCTCCACCCCAGAAGCTCCACATAACCAGCTCCCCATGGTTTCCCGCAGGGTGGTAAGATTACATGAATACTGTTTCACGGAGGGCAGCTCTCTGGCAGGGCAGGCCCAGGGCAGCAGCCGGGGACAACCAAGAGGCGAGACCACCAGGCAAGTCTGTGGGCCCATTAGTGCAGTCAGGGCCCTGACCCCTCTGCTGCACTCCCCTTCACTATTCTCACTGTGAAACTGCGTCGATGTCAAAAACTGTGGGTCAAGCTGCGTCCTTGCTGGGCTAGAAAATCAAACGAGCACCACGGCCAGAGCTTCTTTCTGTGGATGCTTCCTATTTGACAGCTGTATTTATGAACTGCTTATTATTCTTTCCAAATAAGCCAAAATCAGTTGTATTATTGGCGTATAGCATCTGAGTAAATTAGACTGACTGAGCTAAATGGCATCATCGCATAGATTGCAGAACACGGTACCAAGCTGAATGAGCTGGAGAGGCCTGAGTTGCTAGGCAGCGCGCTTGAACTTACATGCATGTCTGCTAGGACTCAGGGTCTGGGAAGCCCACGACTGTAAATCTTGTACTGCACATTCCATCCGTCAGCACTGCACCATTGCAACTAAAACCCTCAGTTCCTTGACCCAAGACAATAACAGTTCTCCATCACAAATCCCTTATTTCTACTGTATATTTCCATGTATCCTTCTCTCTCAAATACTCCTCTGTCATCTTCAATTGCTGTAATTTCCTCCCTTGTTTGTACTTCACACCCACTTCTTTGCTTTTGATTTCTCAACACACACTTCCAAATTTTTCTCTCTACCCTATACTCAGAGTTTGCAAGGTGTGCATTTTAATCCTAGTAATTACCAAATCAGAACATTTTAACATTTTATCCTCCGGTTTATACAATTGGAAATAAGTACATGGCATGTGAAGAGGTGGGGAATCAACCTTATATTCGTCCACAGTTTGATACATTTCCTATGATATAATCCGTTATTCCCAGTGGCCTTAAGAGTTCATAGAAATGTATTTGAGATTAAAAGGATATTATTTTTCACCAATAAAAGTCATGTGGACACTGCTGGCTCAAAAGATAGTACTCCTTTAGAAAAAAAAATTGTAAGCTAGTCAAACCTCAAAGACCCTCTTACACTGTGCAATCACAAATTGCAAGCTGCCATTTGTCTTCCATTACGCTGGATGACTGCTGTGTGTAGCACAACTCACTGTCTACACTAAAACGCTCGTATTATGCCAACTTTTCTTTGAATTTTCATGGCCGAATACTGTTTCTTCTTCCCATGAACGCCCAGAATTTTCTAAGAGCTTTACACTTAGTTCTTTTACATGTTTTTTCCCCCTAATCAGGCATTTTAGTGTTACTGGTGTTCATGCCCGTTTATTTAACAGATGCTGGCAATCTCCCTCTGGAAAGTGATACCTACGTAGTTTTGCTTTGTGCTAATTCTTACTTCGTTTCTGAAGAGATGCCACTCACTGACACCTATGTGTAGCGTTTATTTTAGCAGGATCACTCTTCTTTGAGGAGGCACTGTCATGGGCAGAACTGCCATGAGGTTTCAAAACAGGACATTCTCTGTCCCTTCGCTTAAAAATTCATTTCACGGTTAATTTGACCTCTTTTTTTAACTTCTAAATTCACTACTGTGCAATTCGTTACCCGATTTAGGGTAGTGATGACAGTCAGTGTTCTCAGCCTGTAACAGTAAATAAATGCAGACTAAATTTTGA